GCGTATGTGGAATAGGTAGAATGAAAGGCCTGTTGTACCCATGCTCTGTTAAGAGAAAGGATCTTGTTCCTCAACAAATGGGTTTTTTGTAAAAAAAGGATATGAGGTTTGTGATTGTTAAGGAATTTGAACATGAGAGATCTTTTAAATTTATTGTTCAGGCTACATATGCTACAAGTTATCAGTTTAATTTCCATATTGTAAGGGAAAGCAGAATACTATACCAGGATGCTAGTCCTGGTGCAAGCAGACATGTGGGGAAACTCCAAAAACAGAGAATGTGCCAGTGGGAAAAGAGTGACTATATGAAGCACTGTGAGCCAATCAGGAAGGTAACATATTGCATAGATCACATCAAGCAAGGGACCATTGTTTGCCACAAAATTAAAACATTTGAACTCCCTACTGACCAGCAACCCCAACAAACTATGATGGTCAGTTTGATTCCCTGAACAATAAACTAAATATCCTTGCAAGTTGCAGACACTCACAACTTCAGAGTCAATAGGCCACCATCGGTGCAGCAGCAAAGTGCAAAACTAGGAGGGAAAAAGTGTCTAAAGGCGTGTCCTGTAAACAAGGTAGTTCCCAGAATGAAAGGACAAACTTTTTAACTGTGTACCTCAACATCTAGGGGATGGAACTTTCCCTGCTTATAAACAACCCTCCAAGCACCTTGAAGGAGAGAGAGGGCCCTGCAAGACTGAAATAAGGGGGCCGGAGGTAATGCCTGAGCCATGCACCAGTTTCCAGAAGTCATGATCAAAATTCAGTCACAGCACAGGATGTCAGCCACAACTGGAACAAGGTAGAGCTGGAATGTTGCTGATAATCATAGGGATGTAGATAGTTCAGGAACCCAGGCAGCTGTGGTAACAATATAGAGCCAACAGGCAAAAATAACTGTATGGCCAAAAAGAGACCCAGGAGAAATAGCCAAGGCTTACTGTAGGGTATTCATCCACATTTTGGTTTCCACAGGAGTATCAAAGAAACGCGCTGACCCTTCATGTTGTACCCGGAGGCGACTCAGGTAGAGCATACTATAGTTCATGTTCTTGTCACGGAGCTGTCTGAGAACATCATTAAAGGTTTTCCTCTTTCTTTGAAGCTCAGCCAAGAAATCCAGGAAGAGGAGGCATTCGCATGTTGTAACTTGGGGTGCTTCCTGGCTTCGGAGAGGATTTTATCCCTGTCCCAATAATTAAGAAAATGAACCAGAAATGAGAGTGGGATGTTTCCAGGGATAGCGCACCCAGTAGGTAGCCGATGTGCCCGTTCCACAACATAGGTAGGGAAAACTTCCGTGAGGCCCAGCAACTCCTTTAAGTAAGCCTCTGCCAATTCTGCTGTCTAGTCTCCCTCTGTGATCCCGAGGACCCAGACATTATTGCGCCGCAGCCTATTTTTTAGCATCATCAGACTTTGTGATTGGGCACTTATTGTACTTTGCAGGTCCACTAGCACAGTGGCATGAGAGGCAGGCAGTGAGATCCTCTGCAGCGGAGATCCTAGATTCTGTGTTGGTCAGCCGGCCCCTGATCTTGTCCAGGTCGATCCTTATAAAGTTGCATTTTTCAGTAAGCTGGTCTATGCGTACCAGCAGTGATGTCTCACTCTGTTCTATTGCAGCCAGTATTGCTGTCATACCAGCCGGAGTGTGTGGTGTTGGGGCTTCTGGCCTCGTGACTGAGGCCGAGGGCGGGTGGCCAGGCAGGTGTCGCAGGCTTGGCAGATCGGTTTTTGGACAGCATCTGGAGTCTAGGCAAGGAGAGGAGGACAAGCTGTGAGGATGGATGGAGCGTTCACCAAGGCAAATATTGCAAATGGGTTAGGATTCAGTCAGGAAGACCGGGAGCTTCTCTCCAAGACGTCAACTACAGCTTACATCCAGTCCTGATCACATTTCTTGAGGCACTAAAATGCCAGGACAGTACAAACAACTCCCAAATTACCACTTTTTGGAAAGCAGACACCCCAAAGTATTTGCTGAGAGGCATGTTGAGTCCATGGAAGATTTTATTTTTTTGCCACAAGTTTTTGGAAAATTACAAAAAATGTTCTATTTATTTATACAACGTTATCACTTTAGTGAGATATTTCTCATACATGCCATGGGTATATGTGGAATTGCACCCCAAAACACATTCTGCTACTTGCTCTAAAATACACAGGTAACCCATGCTAGAAAATAACCAGATCAATGCAATAACAAATATTTTCAAGTTAATTGTGACTGCAGCACTCACTTATATTTACACATCAAATATTCAACATCAATTGTTTCCAAACTTAGTAATGTGCTATCAATCATAAATTCATAAAGAGTGCATAAATCATATTGATATCAAATTAGAGCCCCATAAAAAATTCACAGAGAAACACGTAATCCACCGTGAATGCGAACTCTTCACACCAAATGTGCACCAGCCACCTCAAGAGGTCTAACGGCATGCCCACACAGCCAAGGGATTGCTTCATATAAACTTGCTTCAGCCACTGGTAATAAGTATTACCAGTGAAGGTAATAAGTATTTGATCCCCTGCTGATTTTGAATGTTTGCCCACTCACAAAGAAATGATCAGTCTAAAAATTGAATGGTAGATGTATTGTAACACTGAGATATAGAATAGCAACAAAAAATTCAAAAGAAATGCATGTCTAACAAATTATGCACTGATTTGCATGTTCATGTGGGAAATAAGTATTTGATCCCCTTCCCAAAACAAGACTTAGTACTTGGTGGCAAATCCCTTGTTCGCAATCACAGAGGTCAGATGTTTCCTGTAGTTGGCCACCAGGTGTTGCACACATCTCAGGAGGGATTTTGGCCTACTCCACTTGGCAGATCCTTTCCAAGTCATTAAGGTTTGGTGGCTGATGTTTGGCAACTCGAACTTTCAGCTCCCTCCACAGATTTTCAATCGGATTAAGGTCTGGAGACTGGCTAGGCCAGGACCAGGACCTTAATGTGCTTCTTCATGGGCCACTCTCCTTTGTTGCCTTGGCCGTGTGTTTTGGGTCACTGTCATGCTGGAACACCCATCCATGACCCATTTTCAATGCCCTGGCTGAGGGAAGCAGGTTCTCATCCAAGATTTGACGGTACATTGCGCCGTCCATCGCCCCTTTGATGTGGTGCAGTTGTCCTGTCCCCTTAGCAGAAAAACACCACCAAAGCAGCAAATGTTTACACCATGTTTGACAGTTGGGATGGTGTTCTTGCGGTCATAGGCAGCATTCCTCCTCCTCCAAACACGGCGAGTTGAGTTGATGCCAAAGAGCTCGATTTTGGTCTTATTTGACCACAACACTTTCAACCAGTCCTCCTCTGCATCATTCAGATGTTCAGTGGCAAACTTCAGATGGGCCTGGACATGTGCTTTCTTGAGCAGAGGGACCTTGCGGGTTCTGCTGGATTTCAATCCTTGTCAGCATAGTGTGTTACCAATTGTTTTCTTGGTGACTGTGGTCCCAGCTGCCTGGAGATCATTGACACTGAGATCCTCACGTGCAGTTCTGGGATGATTCCTCACTGTTCTCATGATCATTGACACTCCACGAGGTGAGATCTTGCATGGTGCACCAGACCTAGGGAGAATGACAGTTGTTTTGTGTTTCTTCCATTTGTGAATGATTTCACCAACTGTTGTCACCTTCTCACCAAGCTGCTTGGTGATAGTTTTGTAGCCCAGTCCAGCCTTGTGTAGATCTACGATCTTGTCCCTGACATCCTTGGACAGCTCTTTTGGTCTTTGCCATGGTGGAGAGTTTGGAATCTGATTGTTTGATTGCTCCTGTGGACAAGTGTCTTTTATACAGGTAACAAAATTAGATTATCAGAACTCCCTTTAAGAGACTGCTTCTACTCTCAGCTTGTTACCTGTATGAAAGAAACCTGGTAGCCAGAAATCCTGCTGAATGATAGGGGATCAAATACTTATTTCCCTCATGAACATGCAAATCAGTCATCATTTGTTAGACATGCATTTCTTTTGAATTTTTTGCTATTCTGTCTCTCAGTGTTACCATACACCTACCATTCGATTTTTTAGACTGATCATTTCTTTGTGAGTGGGCAAACATTCAAAATCAGCAGGGGATCAAATACTTATTTCCTTCACTGTAGCTCCTGCTAGGTATACATCAATGGTATCTGGGTGAACAGGAAGAAGCCTCCAATGACCACAAGGAAGGGTCATCAATCAAAACAGGGTTCAAATGTATTTGAAGACATGTGGGAACCAAGTCAACATTCATTCAAAACAAGAATGCAATGGCCAGGTGGTAGAAGTCATCATATATAGCCAAACACAGATTGCCTTACAAAGGTATTGAGACAAACGTCTTGTCAAGAAAGGGGGATGAATGAACCTCAAGCTCACGTCCCCATGTAGTGTTGTCTGCCAAGGTATGTCTATACACGGCATGATGGACAAGTGGTTAAATCAAGCTGCCAAAAGGCATTCTGATAGTGATCAGGCGGTTCTCAAAGGGGTGTGCCCCCCTCCCCCGCCTGGTGGACCCTGCAGTGGTTCTAGGGTTCTCCTGTTCCTCTGGGAAGCCCAGAACTATGGCAAAGTGCATCCTGTGGAACAGAGAATATCCATTCCCTGATCCCTACTGCCAATGACCCTGAAAGTGACATCCGGGGTCACAGGTGTCATTCCTGGGCTAGTATAGTGGAGGATGTGGCAATTCGTGTGCTAGAATGATTACACCGGAGGGCGGGGCTTTATGGGATTATCAGAATTGTATAACAGGAATAAAAATAAACAATCCCCCAATACAGCCCCCATGAAAAAAGCGCAGTGGAGGGCGAGCATGTCGGTATATATCATCAATGAAAAATCGTCCCCAAAAACCGACTCCTCCCACACACAGCCCTCCACTAATCCGCTCCCCCCTTCTGAGCCCGAAACCGGAAGTACCCGTTCACCCGGAAGTGTTCGTCCTGACAACTTCCGGTTCCAGTATGATGGCGGCGCTCGGAGGGACGTTTCCTGGGATTTCCAAGGCGGAATATCTGAAGCGATACCTGGACGGGGGGAACTCGGGAGGGGACGATGGGGAGGCTAAGAAGAAAAAGAGAAGGAAGAAGAGGCCGGAGGGGATAGGGTGAGACCCGGGGGAGGGGCATGGAGAGGACGAAGCCGGCTCATCTCCTCAGAGTCTACAGACACGACACTGCGGTATATTACCGCTTCTTATCAGTCCATGGCTGCGTATGGGAGTGTAATGGTGATTTACAGGAAGTCTATACTGAGAGGACTGTGGGGGCCATTGCTGGGCTCCTGTATTAAGATAAATGTGTGGGCCCCATTGCTGAGCTCCTCCTGTACTGGGAAAACTGCGGGGGGCCCCATTGCTGAGCGCCTCCTGTACTGGGAAAACTGCGCGGGGGCCCCATTGCTGGGCTCCTCCTGTACTGGGAAGGCGGGGGGGCCCATTGCTGAGCTTCCTCCTGTACTGGGAAGAAACTGCGGGGGGGGGCCCATGCTGAGCTCCTCCTGTACTGGGAAGACTGCGGGGGGGCCCATTGCTGGGCCTCCTGTACTGGGAAGACTGCGGGGGGCCCCATTGCTGGCTCCTCCTGTACTGGGAAGATTGCTGGGCTCCTCCTGGGGGGAATGCCCCCATTGCTGGGCTCCTCCTGTACTGGGAAGACTGTGGGGGGGCCCCATTGCTGGGCTCCTCCTGTACTGGGAAGACTGTGGGGGGGGGGGTTCCCATTGCTGGGCTCCTCCTGTACTGGGAGGAGTGGGGGGATTGCTGGGCTCCTCCTGGGCTGGGAGGAGTGCGGGGGGGTTCCCATTGCTGGGCTCCTCCTGTGCTGAGAGGAATGCGGGGGGGGGGGGTTCCCATTGCTGGGCTCCTCCTGTGCTGAGAGGAATGCAGGGGGTTCCCCATTGAATGGGGGGGGTCCTCCTGGGCTGGGAGGAGTGCGGGGGGGGGTTCCCATTGCTGGGCTCCTCCTGGCTGGGAGGGGAGTGAGGGGGGGGTTCCCATTGCTGGGCTCCTGCTGGGCTGGGAGGAGTGCGGGGGGGGGTTCCCATTGCTGGGCTCCTCCTGTGCTGGGAGGAGTGCGGGGGGGTTCCCATTGCTGGGCTCCTCCCGTGCTGGGAGGAGTGCGGGGGGGTTCCCATTGCTGGGCTCCTCCCGTGCTGGGAGGAGTGTGGGGGGGGGTTCCCATTGCTGGGCTCCTCCTGTGCTGGGAGGAGTGCGGGGGGGGGTTCCCATTGCTGGGCTCCTCCTGTGCTGGGAGGAGTGCGGGGGGGGTTCCCATTGCTGGGCTCCTCCCGTGCTGGGAGGAGTGCGGGGGGGGTTCCCATTGCTGGGCTCCTCCCGTGCTGGGAGGAGTGCGGGGGGGGTTCCCATTGCTGGGCTCCTCCCGTGCTGGGAGGAGTGCGGGGGGGGGGGTTCCCATTGCTGGGCTCCTCCCGTGCTGGGAGGAGTGCGGGGGGGGTTCCCATTGCTGGGCTCCTCCCGTGCTGGGAGGAGTGCGGGGGGGGTTCCCATTGCTGGGCTCCTCCCGTGCTGGGAGGAGGAGGGGGGTGCGGGGGGGGGGGGGGTTCCCATTGCTGGGCTCCTCCCGTGCTGGGAGGAGTGCGGGGGGGGTTCCCATTGCTGGGCTCCTCCCGTGCTGGGAGGAGTGCGGGGGGGGTTCCCATTGCTGGGCTCCTCCCGTGCTGGGAGGAGTGCGGGGGGGGGTTCCCATTGCTGGGGAGCTCCTCCCGTGCTGGGAGGAGTGCGGGGGGGGTTCCCATTGCTGGGCTCCTCCCCTGTGCTGGAAGGAGTGCGGGGGGGGCTCCATAGCTAAGCTCGTGTACGGAGAGTAATGCGGGGGGGGGTATCTTTAGCGGAGCTCCTCCTGTACTGAGAGGAATGCGGGAGAGGGGGCATTGCTGGGCTCCTCCTGTACTGAGGAATGCGGGAGAGGGGGCATTGCTGAGTATCTCTTGTACTGAGAGGAATGCAGCAGCTCCATGGCTGGGCTCCTCCTGTACTGAGAGGAATGCAGGGGCCCCATTGTTGGGCTCCTCCTGTACTGAGAGGAATGCAGGGGCCCCATTGTTGGGCTCCTCCTGTACTGAGAGGAATGCAGGGGCCCCATTGTTGGGCTCCTCCTGTACTGAGATAATTGCGGGGGGCTCCATAGCTGAGCTTCTCCTGTACTGAGAGGAATGTGGGGGAGGGGGGCATTGCTGAGCTCCTCCTGTACTGAGTTCATACTAGGGCTGCCCTACATAAGAGAAACACAGAAAAGAAGTCCCTGACTCTTCCAAAAACACAGCGGTTTGGTGCACACAAACACATGCAGGTGCATGGGGATGCTGTTAACAATGGTGTTTCCTGCATGTCGGGAAAGCACATGATTTTGCAGGAGTTCCCAGTAACACACAAGTATGAACCCAGCCTTACAGCCCCCAGACAGCTGGGAAAACTGTCAGCGGTTTAACCCTTTCACACGCTGCATGTGGCTGTACATACACTTTAACAAACTGATGATTTTTTTGTCCATCTCTGCCCTAGAGATTGTAGGGGCCTAATTCTGTCCCATGAGCAGAGGGGTAACGTCCCTGAAGTCGTATACAAAAAGTGTGATAAATGGAGCAACTGTATATGTTTAGGTGAAACTCCAGTTACCTTTTTCTGGGTTCCTTCTACTGTTTTAAAAACAAGTATTCTCTCCACACTCCAGCACTTTCCCCAGCTTCCTCCTTGGTTCAGCACCACCCATCCTCCTTGCGCAGAAGGACAGCAGCCATCATTCTACCAGTTTCCTATAAGCAGCCTGTTGTTGACGCACCTCCTGTCAACTGGTTTTACCAGACAGGAAGTCATGGTAATTTTCACACAGAAATAAAAATGCTTTTCTCCTCACTTTTTGAGAAAAAAATTGAAGTACGCTAATAGGAAAATAATTAAAACAAACGGGTTTTAAAGAATACGTTACACCTACATTTCGTATTCCTAAAATGTGGTTGTACTTGTATGAAAAAGTATCCTGTTCTCTTTGTATTTCTTCCTTTGTGTGAAATCCCTGGTGTTCCTGCCAGTCTTTCTGCTTTCCTATTAAACACTGACCACACTAGGCAGGAGAGCACAGTGTGGCCAGTCTGGTTGTGCTGGGAACTCTTCTCCAATGGTTAGACTTGTGCTGACACTCGCCCCCCATGCACAGCCAATCACTGGGAAGATCAGTGTGTTGCTGTTTCTCTGTGATCACTTATATAAAAGGAAAAATCTGAAAGGATTGGCTTTACTTTAGATGCGTATTATACAGAATATATTTCAAGTATAAATATTCGGGATGCACCAAAATTTCGGTGGCTGAAAACACCCCTATAGGCCTTTGGCCAATACGAAAATAAGCACCGATACAGGTGCCAAAAATAACCCCGCCGCACGGTGGTTCTCAGCCTTACCTGAGAACACATTCAACGATCCTGACGCTGGGCATAGAGATCAGTGAAGGAAAGATGACCTCCACTCATCTCTATACCCTTGGAGGTCCAGAGCAACGTCATTACGTCACTTCCTGTTCCGTCACCTTGTAAACAAGGCCTTTTTTTTTTTTTTTTTTTTTTTAAAAAGCACTAGATCAATGCTGTTTTTTTTGATATAATGCTTTACATTGTAGAGGAGAGATGTGGGGTCTTATTGACCCCATATCTTTCCATAAAGAGGACCTGTCGCTGCATATTTCTATCACAAGGGATGTTTGCATTTCTTGTGATAGAAATAAAAGTGATTTAATAAAAAAAAAAAAAAGTAAAATTAAAAAAGTTTAACGTTCCCCCCCATGCTCGCGCATAGTGGTGAACACATATGTAGGCCACATATGTAAATGGTGTTCAGACAACACATGTGAGGTATTGCTGCGAACGTCAGAGCAAGAGCAATAATTCTAGCACTAGACCTCCTCTGTAACTTTAAACTGGTAACCTGTAGAAAGTTTTAAAGCATCACCTATGGAGATATTTAAGTACTGTAGTGTGGCGCCATTCCACGAGTGTGCACAATTTTACAGCATGACATGTTGGGTATCTATTTACTAGGTGTAACATCGTCTTTCAGATTTTACAAAAGAATTGGTGTGTGTGTGTGTGTATATATATATATATATATATGTGTGTGTGTGTGTATATGTATATGTGTATATATATATATATTATACATAATTTTTTTTTATCATTAAAGTGTATTTTTTTGCAAAAAAAAAAAAATAGCATATGATAAATATATACATTTTTAAAAACTGTCCATTTCAGTTTTCGGCTAAGTGCATCCTGAATTTTCGGTTTCGGTACCAGAATTTTCATTTCGGTGCACCACTAATACAAATGCGGTAGTTGGGTAGATCAATGCAGTCATTACTTTTTTATTTGGTAGTCCTGCTGCCAATTTAGAATGCTGAAAACAATTTATTCACCCTATCAATAAAATGTATAGCAATGGTGGCAGTGCAGGCAATCAAATATGCTCCTCTTAAAACAAAAAAAGAAAAAAAAAACACAGACTCCCTCAAGCAAAGGGTCACGATTATTACTTAAAGTGGAACTTCACTCTCTCAATCAGCATTGACTATTCTTAATCCTTATGCTGCTATCATTAGCAAATAGATAAGAAAGTGTATCATACTTGTGTGTTTTTTTTTTTTTTTTTTTGTACATTTCCTCAGCTACTTCCTGGTTTCCATTCCTGAGCAAATTATGTCATACATTACAGGAGTCTTCAGGTGGGGAAGAGGGGTTTTCTCAGCTAAGCGCACCCTCCTGCCTGCATGCCTGAGCTAACGGCAGATGGATTCCAGAAAGTAAATGCTACATTAATCTTCTGCCTTTACTCAAGGTGGCCACAGCCAGATATGGTAAGGGCAGTTTTTCAAAGTGATTCCTCAGTGAAATAAAGCATGGGGACATGGATGGATGGGAGGAAGGGGGGGGGGGGGGTTTGCTTTGAATATTAAAAATGAATTAAATTGTGTTTTGGATTGTGATGCTCAGTTGCAGTGTAGTTCCACTTTAAGTTTTGGTCACGTCTGGCTTACGTTTAAGCTACCTACTGGTGTGATCCTCCCCTTTGGCAGTAGACATGTGACCGACTGTCAGAAAAATTGGTTACATGAGCCAATGCTCGGGTGAGCACTTGTTTTGCTGACGTAGAGGGTTTGGTTTCCAAAACCTTTTAGAGTCCACTTTAATTTTTCACTTAAAATAGAACTAAAGGCAAAGCTTTATTTTTAGTTTTGGGTAGGGTGAAGAGTGATTAGAACACCTTTCAAGTTTGCTTTGCTGTCTGCCCACGTTGGGGAGGTTCACCCCCCCTATTTCTGTTTGCCTGTTTACTGTTATCACTGAGAGTGAAAGTAAAAATAAAAATCCAACATTTTCAGTTGTCACCAGAACAGGATTAGAGGGAAAAATCTTTCAGTGGTGACCCTGGTAACAACTAGGGATTTACTCTCATTTCCTGTGTAGGTCATGGAACAGGAAATATAAGGAAATCTTCCCAATGGGACACAGAGGGCAAAAAACAACTGACAGGTGTTATAACCCCTCCTTTACTCTATCCAAAAAAGTTTTGCCATTAGTTCTACTTTAATATAAATACATCGTCGGGGACATACTTTCCTTAACTAAACAGTACCATCAACTAAAACACCATATATAATTCTTGTAGCAGCTTGATCATTATATGATTTTGTTTTCTTGCAGTATGCGGATAGTAGATGATGATGTGGAAGACTGGAAGAAGGAAACTAAGACCAATGAGGAGGTTGTTGAAGAGGAAGAGGACCAACCAGTGGTAGACATCTTTCACTCTTCTTAAAAAGAACCTCTGACCATGCTATGGACATTCAAGTATTTTACTTATTCTTAGCAAGCAGCACATGAGCATTAAAGCAAGCACTTACTGACCTCTATAGCTGAAGGCATTATGCATGCAATTAATCTTCAAAATTCTAAGCAGCAGTGCTGAAGTCCTTCTTTAAGCAACTTAATTCACACTGCCCCTCCTTCCCAGACCACCTTTTATGTATTAAATCACTGCTGGAAGGAGAGAGCAGGATGAGCTGAGCTGCTGAGAAAAGTTGAACAACTTCAGTGGTTGTATTGTGATGTTTGAGTTTTAATTTCTCCACAGAACCTGTAGCTATATAGATCATTGAGGACATTATTTAAAGCTCATTTCCTACTTGTTAGGATTAGATAAATACCATATATCCAAAACCTGGCTGCAGGTTCAGTTAGGCCTAAGGTGAACATATTTCCTGGATTAGCAATGCAGCTTCCTACATTTGTGCTCAAATGTTTGCATACCCTGGCAGAAATTGTGAAATTTTGATATTGAAAATATGACTGATCGTGCCAAAAAAATGCTCTTTTATTAAGGATGATGATCATATGAAGCCATTTATTATCAAATAGTTTTGGTAAAAGCAGCGCACGGTTGGACATAATGCAGCTAGCATGAAAGGATGAACCCCTTTATCCTCGAACATATAAAAAAGTGAAATGCAGCGCTATAAAATGTGATAAAAACAAGTCATTAGTGCATGAATGAATGTATACATATATTAATAAAGTGACAATAGTTGCAAATGCAAAGTGAGGTGCTTGAAGTAAGCGTTAACGTGAATGGTTTTCAATCCGTGTTTTGCAATTTAGCAGCAAGAAAGTGATATTAATAAATATAAAGTGACAATGGTGAACAGTCCAGTATAAAATGCAATTATTCAGGAAAAAATTGCAAGAAACAGTAAAAACTGTCCAAAATAATCTCCGTGATGAATAGGTGAAAGTGACTCCGTGCTAGGAAATGCTGTATGAATACACTCACCAGAAGCGCATATTAAATGCTCATAATATATCCAGCCCTTCCACAGGTAAGGAAAACTTCCATTAGTAGGATCATGGTAGGAAAAAAACCCCACTGACTTCTCACAGTATTACAGGGAAGACTTTAAACGCCACCACCACTGCTGGCATTACAGGGATGGCTCAGGGTCCCTCTCCACCATGGATAGAACCAGCAGAAACGGTATATTCCACCTTAGGGAAAATAGCTTGCACAAACGAGCCGCAACAGGAGTGCTGATAGTGTAGTAGTTTAATTATTTCATAAAATAAAAGAACATCCACGTGGGTACAGAGTAAAAGACAAGCTGGCAGCAAACACTCACAAAAATGCCCTCTGGACCACCGTGAGGACGCGTGACGGCAGGCTCCTCCCTAATGGAGGACATCTTTTTATGTCCTTTTCCATCTTTATAAAGTTCCATTACCTTGTTACGCAGGACTTTTGACAGTTCTTTTCTGATCCCCATGGCTCAGTATCTAGCCTAGTCAGTGCTTCCACGTAAGAGCTAACAAACTCATTGGCTATTTATACACTGACACTAATTGCAATTTAAAAAGCCACAAATGTGGGACATTAATCTCTAATTGGCATTTTAACCCGTGTGTCACCTTGTGTGTCTGTACCAAGGCCAAACATTCCAGGGTATGTAAACTTTTGATCCGGGCCATTTGGGTGATTTCTGTTGTTATGATTTAAAAAGGAGCCAAACAACTATTTGATAATAAAACAGATATATGCGAGCACACATAAAAATATATATATATGTAGCAGCTGTGCACCAGGTAACCATAAAAACCTCAAACAATGTAAATCAAAAAGTGCAGCGCTAAAAAGGGAAATACAGTATGAGTAGTACACGTATCTACATCATTAGATAAACAGTTCATTAGGTGACTTGAAGTGACTTTCAGGTGTTCTCATGTGACTGTATCCTCCTATTATTAGTAAGGTGCTGTGATCTAAAGTGCGCACTTTATATCACAGCACCTTACTAATAATAGGAGGATAAACTATTTGATGATAATTGGCTTCATATGATCATCATCCTTCAATAAAAGAGCATTTTTTGTCATCAGTCATGTTTTCAATATCAATGCCAAAATTTCACAATTTCTACCAGGGTGTGCAAACTTTTGAGCACAACTGTATGTTACCTCTCCACTGGGATCAATGGATCTGAATCTTCACCTCTGTGTTATTAGCATGAAAGGGTTCAAGGAAGCAGGAAAGCCCAACCAGAAAGATTTAAAGTAAATCAAAGTAAAATTACAGATCTTTTGCAGTAATTAGTTGTTTGATTAGAGCGTTGGTTCTGAAAAGCCAATGTAGCCAATCTTTGAAAATGTACAGATTATTACAGGGCAGCCATGTGCAGAAGATGAAAAGCCGACCCATTCAACAGGTAGGCTCCATCTTCCTCCTTTGAACCTTAAGTACTGTTAAAGCCACACTCCCAGGAAACTTGAAAATTCTTCCTTGCAGTGGGGTTGCATGTACACTGCAAGAGTGTTAAACTGCTTGTTTATGTCTAGGAGGCATGGAAAAATTAGATTTACTTACTTGATTCCCTGCACTGCTAGACCGGTCTCTGCAGTGTCTTCTCTTCCATACTTGTACAGTCTAAGGTCCTGACATCCTTAAGACCAGTGCAGGGTCCATAGCTCTGCATTTGACATGAGGACGCCAAGGGACAGTCCAGTGCTGGAGCATTTGGGAGTGCCATCCGCTAGGAGAGCAGTGGATAAGATACGTAAAACTGCTTGTACTCTCCCGTAGACGAAACTAACCGTTAACACTGCAGGGAAAATTGGAGTTGGGCTTTAAACGGTTTGCTTCCTTTTTGATTGCATTGAGTAAAGTATTGGATATTAAAATTCCGTGTTTGTGTCTTCAGGCACATGGTTTTCTTTGAATAATCTTATTTGTTAATGTAAAATTACATTTTCTTTACATGGCAAGGTAAAATAATAGTACCTGTGCTCTAGTTTACTGCCTGGCCTTTAGAAATCTGGAGGTAGTCTTTAGCATGTGATGTTGTAAATACCAGTCTTATGCTTTTTAGGTGGCAGAGTTTGTAGACGAAAGGCCAGAGGAAGTGAAACGAATGGAAGAATTTAGGAACAGCAACAAGTGGAAGCGTATCCAAGGTAAAAACAACATCACACTGACATCAGACTGTCTTTCTTAATGGTGCATCACAGGACACCTTCAGGTGCATGCACACTGGCCAAAAAAAGGCAGAAATCCTTGCTCAGGTTTTAATTTGCATAATTAAATCTTTGCACGTGTTTGCATATGCTTGGGCATAATTTTCTGGTTTCCTGGGAACATGAACACTTGTGTTGCAGATTTCTACTGTAGAGGGGAGCCAATATTTCAACTTCTCCACCACAGCCCTTGCACAGTGCAGCTTCAGCACCAGGGTGCAGCAAGTACTTAGAGAAACTTGTTCATCTGGCATGACTGCCACTTGGGTATTTTGACTTGGGCCAAACCAGTAGGAATTGACAAAGTTTGCTGAAATTAGCCAGAGTGCAGGGGGACACTATGGAGGCTGCCTCCGAGGAAAACGGGCACCAGTGGCACACGGGTAAGCTGGCAGAAGGTTAACATTTTTTGACTATGCATTTGGTGGTGGTGGTCAGTTCATGACTAGGCTTCTGGGATTCCTTGGCAGTGTGTCCCTAGAAGTCTCACAGGCACCTGGCTTTTTTGGTTTACAGCACTGTGTGAGGGAGAGGTTTTGCTACTCAGAGCTCTGTGGTATTCAGCGTCTACCCTTTTAATTTCTTCTGCTTGCTCCTAAGACTAAAGAGGCCCCTAAGAAGGACAAGCCTGCTCTTAAGAAGTAATGATCCAACTGTGGCACTAAGCTGTTGTCCAATTATAACAAGGCCTTCTGCTGTCCGTGTATTGCTAATTTGTTAAAGGCAGAGGCAGAATCTCCTTACAACTATCTTACAGACTGCGCCACAGAGAAATATTGCTGAGAGTATTACATTTAAACGATGTATACTCCTTGCTGCTGCTATTCATGATGTACAATCATGAATCAAAGCTGGCAAATAATGGAACAGCGCTGACCTTCTAACGACTAAAAAAATGTGCACTACAATCGATTACCTCCCTCTAAAAATGTGTACCTGAATCTGTAATCTTCTCCAAAACTCCCTATACCATATGAAAATATAACACCCACTAATATAAAGTGCACCTTAATACCATCTACCATCCCCTACTCTGCCAATGTAAATAAAGTGCAAATAATGTGCTACATGTACATACATACATAATAAAATATCTATATCATATACAGTTGTGGCCAAAATTATTCAACCCCCACTGAAATTGAGTGTTTTGGCCAGTTTGACATTGCTTTTGATCATTCAGTCATCTTGCTTACATTTACATTAAAGAGGCACTTGTAGGTCAGACAAATATAACATAACAGTTATAATGAAATAACCACAAATGTCTTTTCTGTGCTCACAGCATTATCAGTTTTATTCAACCCCCAAGTGACATTCAATCTTAGTACTTAGTACAGCATCCTTTTACAGTTATAAACAGCTTTTAAACGTGAAGCATAGCTTGACACAAGTGTCTTGCAGCGATCTACGGGTATCTTCGCCCATTCTTCATGGGCAAAGGCCTCCAGTTCAGTCATTCTTAGGCTTGCGCACTGCAACTGCTTTCTTTAAGTCCCACCAGAGGTTCTCAATCGGATTTAAGTCTGGTGACTGCGCGATGGCCACTCCAAAATGTTCCAGCCTTTCCTCTGCAACCATGCTCTAGTGGACTTGGAGGTATGCTTGGGATCATTGTCCTGTTGAAAGGTCCAACGTCTCCCAAGCCTCAGGTGTGTGACGGACTGCATCACGTTTCCATCCAATATCTCCTGGTACTGAAGAGAATTCATGGTACCTTGCACACGCTGAAGCTTCCCTGTACCTGCAGAAGCAAAACAGCCCCAAAGCATGATTGACCCTCCACCATGCTTCACAGTAGGCAAGGTGTTCTTTTCATCATAGGCCTTGTTCTTCCTCCTCCAAACATAGCGTTGATCCATGGGCCCAAACAGTTCTAATTTTGTTTCATCAGTCCACAGAACACTATCCCACAACTTTTGTGGTTTGTCCACATGGCTTTTGGCATACTGCAGTCGACTCTTCTTATTCTTTGGAGACAGCAAGGGGGTACGCCTGGGAGTTCTGGCACGGAGGCCTTCATTACGCAGTGTGCGTCTTATTGTCTGGGCTGAAACTTCTGTACCCACATCTGACAAATCTTTTCTCAGTTCCTCAGCAGTCACACGGGGACTTCTCTCCACTCTACGCTTCAGGTAGCGCACAGCAGTCGAAGTCAGCATCTTCTTTCTGCCACGACCAGGTAGCGTTTCAACAGTGCCCTTTGCCTTGAATTTGCGAATGATGCTTCCTAAGGTGTCTCTTGGTATGTTTAAACATCTTTGCAATCTTCTTATAGCCATTGCCCTTCCTGTGAAGAGAAATCACCTCTTCTCTTGTCTTCCTGGACCATTCTCTTGCCTTCACCATGTTTGTAACCACACCAGTAAATGTCTAGAAGGAGCTGAGTATCACAGTCATTTTAAAGCTGCCTAATTGGTGCTTATTATGCTTGATTGCTGCTCGGTGACATCCACAGGTGTTTTCAATACCTGATGGAAAGCACCTGTATGAACCTCTGTTCTTCAGAGTGGTAGTCTTTAAGGGGTTGAATAATTGTGGCAATGAAGAAACCACATAAGAACCATTTACTACTGTATTACATAAACAATTGATGTCATTTTAGTTGCATTTGGGTAGTTACAACGTCCTTGTAGGATTTGATTCTGAATACAATTCCAAATGTACACTATAGTCCCTAAACCCCTTTACAGCATTGGGGTTGAATAATTTTGGCCACAACTGTACCATCCCTTTGCTGTAGTGCAAATTAATAACAATCAAAGTGCAAACGGTGTCCAAGTAAAGTGCAAAATAATTCTAAAATTCTATAATGTCCGTCCCATATCCACCCAGAATCTCCTTATGCAAAGTTTCTTAGATCCTTTAGGGAGGAAGTGGCTTCCACCTTTCAAGCCTTCTGTAAGCTCGTATACAATGTTAAAGTCCAGACTCCTCTACCAGTCAGTCAGAGCAAGTGCCCTCTTCTGCTCCAGAAACCCACAGTTAGAGGACCCAGATTCTTCAGCCTCAAAAGTCAGAACAAGAGAGGGTCAGGCTAAAGCCTCTAAGGTAAATCATTTAAACTTTCACTGAAAGAAGTAAATGACCTTTCGGGGCTATGTACATTACGTTGGAAATTTAGGAGGAAGAGATGCAATTCTTGAGATAGGATTTAATGGGTTGAACAAAGGAAAACAACAAGTTTTTTTCCAGTTCATCAGGTCATGATCCATATAATTCTTGGAAGGAGGGATCAGAGCCTGAGAAGAGACCCTTTCCATTTGATCATAGATTCCATTTGAAGATTTCCATTTGATAATAGTCCAGATGTGGTATGGAACAAGTGTCTAAAATTGGACACTCCTTTACCCAAAATCTCTAAGCATTCAGATTTAGCTTTTGAAGACATGGGGCACCTCACTGTTTTCATAGAGGTTATATCCTGAAGAGGGCTTGGGATGCCTGCATGGCCAACCTGATGCCTGCCCTGGCCACTACTTCTGTTGCCAGGAACTTTGAATTTTGGCTTTCCCAGTTATAAGAGCATCTTCTAGCCTGTACTCCTAGAGAAGAGTTGCTGAAATACTTCCCTACTCTTTCCAAAGCAGTTGGTTTCATAGCAGACACCACTGCTGAGTCAGTAAACTTGTCTGCAAGAGCAGCGACCTTCTTTGCGGCAGTAAGAAGGTCGATCTGGTTTAAAACTTGGTCAGGGGACATGGCCTCCAAATTGCGCTTATACAATGTGCCATTTTCAGGCAACCTCCTGTTCGCCCATGACTTAAAGTTGGCCCTTGAAAGGACCACAGACAGGAAGACAGCTTTTCCAGTAAAGAAAAAGTCCTTTACAAGAAGTTTTTTTGTCCCCATAGAGAACAATCCAAAGAGAGAGAGAGGGGGAAAAAAACGAAAGGAGAAAAGCAAAAGTAAATGTTCTGTTTAACCCTTCTGGCCAGAACACTCTGAAGCAAATATTCAGAGCCACCATGTGGTCAAGTTTTCCCAAGTCATCTTCCAGGACAGCTTCACATGAGAGGCTCCTCCCACCAGGAAACACCCGATCCACTTTTTCTCCCATAAGTAGCCTCTCTCCACAGGGCACCCTCAGTATTAGTGTTTCCTCCGGCCAGGAACGACTCCTGTTTATTTTTTTGTCCATGGCCGTCTGGTGGGGTACAGAGGCCTCCTGGATGGGGCTAACCCTCTCTCTTCATCGAGGCAGGGGCCTTTGCGGGGTGGCCTCACTCAAGGTTCCCTTTGGATTGGGGGGACACAGCACCCTCTACTATGGTCCTGCAGGCTCACCGGGGGGGCTAGAGCCTGCTCCACCGACCTATCAGGTAAGAGACCGCTACCCTGTGGGGGCATACCCTATGTTTCCTCCGCTGTACGCCATATCTGATGGGAGGCGTGGGTCGATGACGTCACTCCCGAGCGCCGAGGCTTGTGAATGTCACTTCCCGAGTTTTTTTTTCCTAAAAACCTTAAAAGGCTGTTTCCGTTGAAGGAAGATGCTTCTATGTGGGAGTCTTGCCCGAAACCGGATGCTCCCCTCTTGAAGATTTCAAAATCCATGGATTTATCTTTCGAAGACTTAGGTTCCCTAGAGGACCCAATGGACTGCAAGGCCGACACATTTCTCAGAAGAGCATGGGAAGCATCTGCAGTAAACTTTAAACCAGCAATAGCAACAACCTGCGTTTCCAGAACCCTAGACGTATGGTTGGGCCAGCTTCACTCTCATCTTGAACAAGCCACACGCAATGACAACAGACTACCTAGAATGCATTCATCCTAGACACAATTTGAAATGGCTACAGGATAGAATTTTCACAACTCCCCCCTCACCGGTTCTTCAGACTATCAAGAGTGGTACAGAAAATACTGACGTCTCAGGCCAGAATCATCCTGATCGCTCTGTTCTGGCCCAAAAGGTCATGGTTCTCCTTCCTGAAAGAACAGCCTAATGAACCCATGGACGATA